CCCCCGTCCCCCTCCCCCTCCCCGCTGACATTTCCTCGGGGTTGTGGGATACAGAGAGAAGCAGGAGAGGTCTGAACATTAAGTACAGTCACATATTTTATTTGAGCCTCATTTCTTTGGAGAAAGGGGAACAGAGAGGAGAGGAGGTAGTCAGAGACACTCTGGCACAGTTCCCAGAGACGTGGAACATGTGCAGGGAAGCCAGCACCAGAAATCTGCTGAAGGGGAAATCTGGGACACCTGGGGACAGACCTCAGAGATAATCTGGGCCTTGAGTCACGCAGCCTGGGAGTATGATGGGCATGTGATCCCAGAACCCAGTAAGAAGGAATTCAGCAGGTGGAGGGTCACAGAGCCAGGACCGATGGCTTATACCCAGCCTAGATCTCACGTCCGAGTGATGCCTTTCGGGCAGGGAGGATTTGCCAAGATAATCTGCCTGCTATCTAGTTCCAGTTCACCTACCAAGTGTCCTCGTTTAATTGGGGTGAGTTTGGATAAGCTTGTGGCTGTTTCTTCTCCACGGAGTGTGTCCGAGGTGGAACCTGAGACTGGGAGCTTGAAGCTCCAAAGCGGTAGGCAGTGAAGTAGTTCCGCCAGGGGCTCTGAGACCTTGCCTTGGTCCTAGGCTGGGGCTTCCTCTCTCTCTCTGTCTCTAGCTCTGGCTCCAGCTCTTCCTCCGTCTCAAGCTCTGTCTGGGCATCTGTCTCAAGCTCTGTATCTAGATCAGATTTGGCTTGAATCTCAGACTCCAGCTCAGATTCAGGTTCCAGCTCTGACTCCTGGTCCAAGTTCAGGTCCAGATCCAGACTGAGCCCCAGATCACTGTTCTGTTCAGAATTCAGCGTGGGCTCCAGGTCAAACTCCAAGTCATCCTTAATGGGCTTATGGATCTTGACGAAGTTCGGACTTGCCCGTTGGGAGCCCTCCATGATGCTGCTACCGGTTTTATGTCTCAGATTGCTCATATTGCCATTCTGAAATAACACACATTTGGAGGAGTTAAGACTTACAAATTTCACTTCCAAGCAGTCAAGGGATTTCAGACCACACCAGGACGTAAGGTCCTAGAACCATGGCTTTATTGCCCAGCTCTGCTTCAAATCTGCACTGGTTTCTCAGTTCTTCACTATTCTTTGGGCTCAGTCAACTCCTGACTTCCACTCTGCCTTTTCTAGCTAGACTGGATTTCAGGAGACATCTTGTCCTCTTTCTTTATCTCAGTTGCCAACCCTAACACCATCCTGACGCCTCTGAGGCTGTGGAGCCTGGTCTCTCCCATGGCTGTACTGGCAGCTGGCACTGCCTGACACCGCCCAGCCTTCTGGAATCTGCCCCTTCCAGCTCATCCATTTCCGTCCTGTGCGCATGCGCGTGGACAGTCTTCCTCCTGGATGCAGCTCAAAGGTGGCTGACCAGGCTCCCTGCTTCCTCCGTGACCCAGCTGGCCCCTCGAGCACACCCTCGTTCATTTGTAGACCTGTGCCTGGCTGGACTCTAGGCTCCTTGTTGTAGAACAGGGCTTGCTTCTAGATGTCCCTGGTATCAGATACTTCAGAGCCTGACACACAGCAGGTGCCCTCAAGACAGGAACTCGTCTTGTGGAAACATTCCCCAACGCTCACCCCTTCTCTCCTTCCTTCCTGGCCTGGTAGTTCATGGCTCCTCTGTCTCTGCTAGCTTTTTAAAGATCCTGGACCTTGATCTGGGGGCCCTTTTCTTTTCTGCCTATCCTCTCCCGACAGGTCATTTTATGGAGGCCCTTAATTTTTGTTGCCTTCTGTATGCAATGAATGACTCCTGGGCTCTAACACTCCCTGTGATCTGCAGGTATGTGTGCCTTCCTGAGAGGGCACCTCCCCCAGGTCATTTGAGGGTTAACTTGAATTTAATACAAGGTAAAGCCTCCTCTTCCCCCAGCCTCCTCCTCCTTACATGCCAGGCTGGGGAGGGCACTTTCAATGCTAACTCTTTTTTTTTCTTCTTTTATGTATATGAGTATTTTACCTATCTGCATGCCTGGTGCTTGTGGAGGCCAGAAGAGGGTGTCAGATCCCCTGGAACTGGGATTATAGATGGTTATGAACCACCATGCGGGTGCTGGGAATGGAACCAGGGTCCTCTGGAAGAGCAGTCAGTGCTCTGAACTGTGGAGCCGTCCCTCCAGCCCCTCAGTGCTAACTCTTAATGCAAGTCCCGAAAGCAAAGTCAGGTGAGCAGAGAGGTGCTCCTTAAAGAACACTGGTGCTGATGTCCGCCAGAAGCCACACGCGGACACTCCGGAAGCTTCTCCCACCAATCCAGGAGCAAGGCAAGACCTATCACTCCTGCTCACCCTGTCCTGAGGACCCTGACTTCAGCAACAGGACATAATAACAAAGTAAGAATCCTAACACTGAAAATAATAGATGAGCACTATTTTTGTAATTAAAATACTATTACATTTATTTGTGTGTATATGTGGGGGAGGGCACATGGGCATATGTGGGCACATGTGTGTGTGGACACGTGTGGGGGGCATGTGTGGGCACATGGACATGTCGGGAGCATGTGTGTGGGCATTTGTGGGCACAGGTGTATGGGTGGGCACATGTATGTGGGTGGGTGGGCACACGTGTGGAAGTCAGAGGAAACTTGAGAGAGTCAGTTCTCTCCCTCCACCGTGCGGGTCCTGGGGACTGAACTCTGGCTGACAGGTTTGGTAGGTGATAAGTGCCTTTACCTGCCGAGCCTTCTTGACAGCCCTGTAACTTTTTTTTAAATAAAGAAAATCCATGCGAATTAACAATGAACCCTCTCACGACTGCTAGAACAATCCACAAAGTTGGTCAAATAATTTTTTAAGTCCCTGCTTTCCTGTCTCTTGGAGCTTTCTGTCTGTTGTACACAGCTGACTAGTGGAGCATCTGGTGCAAAAGAACGTCACTTTTACTGTGGTTTTTAGTTTGCAATCGGGAAGGATGGTCTTGCTATACTGTCCAGGCTGGTACCAAACTTGTGAGCTTAAGTGATCCTCCTGCCTCAGCGTCCTGAGCAGGAGGGTTATAAGTATGAATCATCCCATCAGACAGTGAAGACTTGTTTTGAAAAGCAATTAACAACAAAAAACAAGTAGACAGGGGATGGGTAGCTCAGCAGTTCAGAGCACTCTTCAGAGGGACCTGAGTCTGGCTCTGTGCATACACCAGGTAGTTCACAAGCCCTTATAACTCCAGCCCCAGTGGATCTGTATCTGGCATTGGTCTAGCTGAGGAGAGCCAGATGCCTTCCTGTGATTGGCACATTCAAAGACTAACTAAACACAGAGAATGCCCATGTCCAGAAAGAAAGGAAAGTGGAACAACACACATCTCAGCTTTCTCTGTAGTTTAGGGTAATTCTCCAGGAAACCTTGACAGGGATTTTGTTTGTCTTTTTGAGGGCAGGATGGAGCCTAAAGAATACTGGTAATAATGAGTTAGGAAATTGTGGACTAGAATGCTGATGTCACTGGACTTCTTAACCAGTCTTCAAATGTATTATGAACTGATGCTGATCAAAACAGGATGCCACTAACAGAGCCACAAAGCAACAGCAAAACCCTAAGGTTTTCATAAAATGCTTGTGTGAAGAGTTTCTCAAGCCGGGGAGCAGGAAAGGCTTACCCAACAGAGATAAGTAGGTGCTAGAATTTGTGTGGCCTTCAGGATTGATATTGAAATTATCATTATCAATGAAATTATCCCACTGTGGTGGGAATGAGAGGAGGGGCCTTTGGGGAAGCAATTAAGCAATTGAGATTGCTTGACCATGGAAAAACAAAACAAAGCTGGGTGGGCAGTGGCTTACACCTTTAATCTTAGCACTCAGGAGGCAGAGGCAGGGGGATCTCTGAGTTCAAAGCTAGCCTGGTCTGGAAAAATATGTTCCAGGACAGCCAGGGCTGTTACACAGAGAAACCCTGTCCCCCCCCCCCCCAAAAAAAAAACCCAAACCCAAACCAGAATAACAACAACTGATGGAAGACACCCCAACATCAACTAAGAGCACCCTGAACACCGCCACCATTAGGGAGATGGTTAAAGATCAAGGCGTGAGCTTGGGAGCTGGGACCACTTTTGCTCTGTGGTTGTCTGGTCCTCTGGATCGAGCCATGAGCTGCTCTTGGCTTTTGATGGCTTTCAGGGCAGAGCTATGGGAGAAACTACCCACAGTCTGTCACTGGATGGGCCAGAAGACCGCACGCCTTGAATTCAGGGCACAGCCACCCTGGATTGCCACCACCTCCAGGTATCCAGCAAGAAAAATAGCCCAGGTTCCAAGTGACTTCTAGATCCAAAGATCACGTGGTGACTGAGTAGAGATGAGACTCTCGACACTCACCCTAGATCCACTGAGCTAAAAACTCAGGGGGCTGGGACCCAGAGGGCCCAACTGTCTTTCTCCGGCTGGCAATTTTAGGTGATTCTGATGGACACTGACATTTGAGAATCAATGGACACCTCTGGGAGTAAGAAGGGCACCTTTGGTCCCAAGGGCTGGGATTAAAGGCATGTGCCACCACTGCCCAGCTAAGAGTAGAGTGGTAGAGTGGTACTCAGTGGTAGAGTGCTTGCCTAGCAAGCACAAGGCCCTGGGTTTGGTCCTCAGCTCCGGAAAAAAAAAAAAAAAGTCTTTTTTACATTTGTGTGTGTGTGTGTGTGTGTGTGTGTGTGTGTGTGTGTGTGTGTGTGTTTAAAGCACATTTAAAGCCCATGTGGAAGCCAGAGGACAACTTGTGGAAGTATGTTGGTTGGTTCTCTGCTTCCACCATGTGGGTCCCAGGGATAGAGCTCAGGCTGGCAGCAGGTAATGTGAGGACGTGACAGCCAGCCCTAACCTGATGGCTCTGTGCCATTGCCTGCTTTATCCCAGTCATTAGAGACATTTTCCCCAGAGTGCTCAGACCTGTGTAATAATTTACACACAACTCCCCTGTGATGGCTAGGGAAACTTAATGTGGTGCCAGGCATCCCGTGAGGGCTGTTGACCTTTGCCCTGGAATGCCTGAGATCCTAGTGGCCTGCAGGTGAGATAACACGATGATGAAACCAGACAGTGTTGGCCCCAGGGGCAGAGCCAAGCAGATCTCTGAGTTTGAGGCCAGCCTGGTCTACAGAGTGAACTCCAGCCAGGGCTACACAGCGAAACCCTGTCTTAAAAAAAAAAAAAAAAAAAAAAAAAAAAAAAAAAAAAAAGCTGGAGAGATGGCTCAGTGGTTAAGAGCACCAATTGCTCTTTCAGAGGACCCGGGTTCAACTCCCAGCACCCACATGGCAGCCCACAACTGTCTGTAACTCTAAGATCTGACACAAGATCTGACACCCTCACACAGACATACACGCATACACCAATGCACATAAAAAATAAAGATAATAAATTGTAAGAAAAAAAAGATAGTGGTATTCCCACTGTGAGGCGTTTAACCACTTGCTTTCTGCTTTTGGAAACTCACTTATCACTGGGGCTGGGAAGAAGTGAAGTGGTCTCTTTATTACAACGGGGAAGAGAAACACTGTAGGGATGAAAAGAATTTTCTTGCCCAGCCATGGATTCCATAGATAATTGTAATGTCCACCTTTGATATCCACCTTTATAAATCCTTCCTGCCGGGCGGTGGTGGCGCACACCTTTAATCCCAGCACTCAGGAGGCAGAGGCAGGCGGATCTCTGTGAGTTGGAGGCCAGCCTGGTCTCCAAAGCAAGTTCCAGGAAAGGCTCCAAAACTACACAGAGAAACCCTGTCTTAAAAAACAAAAACAAAAACAAAAAATCCTTCCCGTAGCAAACCCTCTGGCACTAGGGCTGCCGTGCTTCTGCTAGCAGTAAGAATAAATTCAGCTCATCTAAATCTGAACTGAGTCTTTCCCAGGGGATTGGACACAACAGTGCCTTTCCCCACTGAGCCATCCTGCCGGTCCGCAGGAGAATTCTTGCTCCAGGTGGGGGTGAACCCGAAGAGCTCTGAGGTTTAGAAACGGGAGTGGACTGCAGAACAAACCAGAAGGTCTTGTTGACAGGGAAAAAACTGTTCTGTAAAAACAGGGGCACATAACCTGTGAGACGTCTCAGCAAAACCCAGGAAGGGCAGGTTGGGGGGTGAAGAAGAGCTGTGTTCTGTAAGTCTGTGCATTTTTCATTTCTCCACATATTTTAAAAACACTTATTACCACGGCAGCGCTTCTCTTGTCATAAAAATGCAAAAACAAAGATAATCAGATAACACTACAGACTCTGATCTGGGAAGCCCAAAGTCCACTCAGGGTTAAGAAACGGTTCAAACTGCTGATGTATGTGTCTTCCTCTCTTGCATCCGGTCATGATGAATGGATCCTCATTCCTCACAGTGTAAGTAATCGCCCCAGTCCTGGGAGGGCAGACATGCCTTCTGCTCACCAGACTTAGGACTCACCTGGAGGTGGTGGTAGGGAGGCTCTAGAGTCAGTCTAGGGGAGGATTTCAAACAGGCAGCAGTCGGCAACTGGCATGACACTAACCACAGGGTGATATGCAAGGACGTCTGAGGCCTCTGCTGGGCTGGGGCTGAGGTCCTGGATGGGACACCCAGGTGCTGCGGCAGTGGGGGTCCTTGAAAGCTCAGGCCTCCGCCATTTATGATTGGTCCCAGAGCATGCTGGCACGGGTGCACCCCAGCCTTTCTGGGACACCCTTCACCTCCGATCAGGCATGCCCCTCCCCTCTCCTCCCCGGCCTGAAGCTCCCCGGCCTCCAACCTTGTCCGACTCCGAGTAGGTTTCCTGTATCACTGTCTCATTTGCATCCATGCTCAACTCCGAGGGCTCGGGGTTCTTCCTGGACAAGGCGTAAAGCACGGCGTCGTGGAGGCTGAGGAAGAGCTGGGCCTTCGTGATGCCTTCGTCAAAGAAATCATTCTTCTCAAAGGACTTGACCACAGAGGCTACAAGCCAAACCCAAACACGCAGGGGTCAGCAGCGCCTGGGAGCCGAGCCCCGGGGCCCAAGATGCACACATCAGGGTGAAGGGTACTACTCACTGTGACACCCTGAAAGGAGCACCAAAATGTTGGCATTGAAGAAAGCATTGCACATCTGCAGGGAGAGAGAGCTGGCCTCAGAGAGTGAGTGGCACACACACGCACACACATGCACACACACACACGTGCACACGCGCACACGTGCACACACATACGTGCACATGCACACACATGCACACACACACACATGCACACACACACACACACACACACACACACACACACGCACGCACACACACCCCAGGAGCAGCCCACTAGCCAGCTGGGCTCTAACCCCTTGTCAGCCGTTCACTTTGGGGGACTCTGTACCTCTTCCTTCCAAGCCTATGAGCACTGGGTGAGTGGCCCTCTGAGTGCCATGGCTGGGGACACAAAAACCAGGGCATCTCATGGTGGGTGGGGGGTGGGGGTGAGGGGTAGGGGGTAGGGTTGCTTAAATCCTAGGCAGGGAGACTATTCCCATGGTAACATTTACGTGAGGAAGACTCGGGATAGACGGGGCAATGATGCTCTTGGCAACATTCTAGGTAGTGGTTACAAAGAGTTACCCTCCTTTTAAAGAAGATGTGTTTTTATTCACGTTCATGTGTGTGAGTCTGTGTATCTGCAATGTGTGGCTGGTGCTCATAAAGGCCATAGAGGACATTAAATCCCCTGGAACTGGAGCTACAGACAGTTGTGAGCTGCCATATGGGTGCTGGGAATTGAAGAATTGAACCTGAAACCTCTGGAAGAGCAGCCAGTGATTGTAACTGCTGACCATCTCTCTCTCTCTCTCTCTCTCTCTCTCTCTCTCTCTAGTTAGTTAGGGGTTGTTGTTGTTGTTGTTGTTTCCAGGCACGGTTTCTCTGTGTACCTTTGAACTTGTCCTGGAACTCACTCTGTAGACCAGGCTGGCCTCAAACCATAGAGACTGTCTGCCTCCCAAGTGCTAGGATTAAAGGCATGCGTCACTACTGCCCGTACTGTCTATTTATTTATCAACCCCATGTTCTTTATTTTACGGTAAGTGGAACACAATAAATTCCTCCAATAAGAAATGCACAGAACCATCACAGAAGAATGAGGAAGCCCGGACTTTAGGGTAGAGATGGAGACCATGAGTCTCACAGCTGTAAGGCAAAAGATCCTGGCTTGCCTGGATCAGAAAGCCTTCTGTGTAGGTCAGGTGTGGGAGCCAGGATACAAGGTGCCTCTGTAAGAATGGGAGGCAAGAGAAGGGAGGTGAGAAGAGCCAGGGAAAGGCAGACGCCTGAAGCTCTGAAGCACTGAGTCCTGGACTTTTCAAAGGAGGGCTGTTGTGGGGGCTGCTGGGAGAATGGAAGGCAAAGGTGTGTGTACATGTAGCCAGCCGTCCCTCAGGCAGCATCGGAGAGTATGGGCTGAGGGACTCTGAAGCAGCTGCAGGAACAGCAGGAGACTAGAGGAAGGCACCCTGGCCCGGCACAAAGGCCTAAGATGGAAGAGTTCTGAAAGGAGACCCAATGAATTACATCTGGATCTAAACTGGTGGTGAGGGTCAGGCATGGTGGAGCACACCCTTAACCCTTGCACTGGGAAGACAGAAGCAGGCAGATCTCTGCTTGTCCCAGGCCAGCCTGGCAGGTCTACATATCAAGTTCCAGAGTTCCATACCAGTCAGTGCTACATAGTATGAGACCCTGGCTAAATAAAAACATTTAAAAAGGCAGGCAGATCTCTGAGAATTCAAGGCCAGCCTGGTCTACAAAGCGAGTTCCAGGACAGGAAGGGCTACACAGAGAAACCCTGTCTCAAACAAAAAACAAAAATAAATAAAAATAAAGAAAGATCTCAGGCCTAAACTCACTATGTGGCTGATGATCACCTTGAGCCATCCAATTCCTAGCCTCCGCCCCCAAGCGCTGAGATTATAGGTATGCATCATTGCAACCAGCTTCTCCGGTGTTGGGGATGGGAGGAGGGGACCCTGCTGGGACCCCATAGGCAGGGGGTCAGTAACTGTCCTGGAGTTCCGCAGTGGATGGGACATAGATACTGCCTCAGTGATATTAAGAAGCCACGCCCCCCGCCCCGCCCCATTTCTTGAGAATTGGTGAATGATTCAGGCGTAGGGAACTAACTGCTCTAGGCCAACACATCAGAGCTGGTCCGTTTCCTCTGTGTTCTGACCCAGCGTCCCCATCTCCAGTAACTGAGCCATGCCACGACTCACGGAATGACACCGGGATGGGGATGTGTGGGAGGGGTCAGAGCCGAGCGAGGGACAGGCCTCTGCGGTACCTACCTGCCTTAATACAACCAAAGCCCGGCTGTCCACATAGTGCACCATGGAAAAGTCCAGAATGATGGTGTGGATGTTGCTCTGCAGACCCGAGTCTGAGTACGGGCCGACGACGGATCTGGATCTACTCTGTGCTAAGCTTTCTGAGGTTTCAAGCGGTGGCAGTGAACTGTTTCTTGAAGGGTTGTTGGACAACCAGGCTTTCTCGGTGTCCTCGTAGTTCTGCCCTAGGTTTCTCTGCGATGTGGAGGACACTGTGTAGGGGATCTGTTCCTCGGAAGTGGTTTCACTCTCCAGCTCCCCGTTGCCCAGGTAGGAGCAGCGGATCAGGTTAATGGAGGACTGGTCATGATCCTGTTTGTTTTCATAGCGCTCTGTGTAGACGACCTGGGATGACAGAGGGAGGTGGGACCCTGATGAGACTCAACTCGGGCTGAAGTCCTTGTAGACTCAGTGTGTCCCCAGCTCCCTCCATCTCTCCTTTGAAGCTTTACCCCCTTGTGCATTTTTTTATGACGGCCCCACAATCACTTCATGCTCACAATCAAAGCCATATCCTAGTCTCTCACCTCACTGGTCCACAGAATCTTCTTCCCAACCAACTGTTTGTGTTCATTAGTGACATTAGTCTGTGAGCCAGACTTGAAGTCACCTTCACTTCTCAGGTCCCAGTGAGTCGCCAGTGTTTATTACAACTTCCTGTAAAGTGCTTGCTTGCTTGTTTTTTACATGTGTGTATGTATGTATGTATGTATGTATGTATGTATGTATGTATGTGTGTATGTATGTGTGTGCTTGTGTGTGTTTTTACATGTGTGTATGTATGTATGTATGTGTGTGTGTATGTGTGTGCTTGTGTGTGTATGTATGTATGTATGTATGTATGTGTGTGTATGTGTATACTTGTGTGTGTTTTTACATGTGTGTATGTATGTATGTATGTATGTATGTATGTATGTATGTATGTGTGTGCCTGTGTGTATTATACAGTGTGTACATGAGGCTGAACATGTCACACATATACAAGAGGCCAGAAGAGGGGACAGACCCCCTAGAACTGCAGTTACAGGCAGTTGGGAGCCGCCTTCTGTGGGTGCTGGGAACCGAACGTGGGTCCTCAGGAAGGGCAGGAAGTGCAGTCGGCAGCCGAGCCATCTCTTCAGACCTGTACCTGGTCTCTGTCAGGCTTTCCTCAGCACCTTCTTGCATGCATGCAACAGTCTCCCATGCAGCTTTCTTAGGAATACGGCGGTTGATTTCTGGAAGCCTGTCTGTATCTCTGACTGCACCCACTCTCCTAAGAGACCCAAGCAGCTGGTATACACAAGGGCAGCACCAGGGGCTGGAAGTGCCACACGGTGCAAGGCACCAGTGTGGCCTCTGCATGTGGCCTGCGATGGCTGACCTTGTCAGTGTGACTGGATTCATGATCACCTCCTTGTCCCTTCCTCACCCTCCACTGTGTCATGCCTGCCTGACAATGTCAGCCTTTCTGGGACCCTGAGAGCCTCAGGGTCCTTGCCAAGTGCACTGGTACAGAGGACCCTCTGTCTTCCAGGCCACACCAATGTCAATGTCTCTCTCAGCAGCACACATTCGTTTGCCACGCGGGGCCGCCGGGTTTCTGAGTTCACGCCACTCTCAGTATACCAAGTTGTCTGAGTCGGCAGAAGCTAAACAGACTGTGCCGAGGATGGCAAACTCACACGGCGCTGAATGTCACTGTTCCGAGTAGACATTTTCAAGTGGGCCTGGAGAGATGGCTCAGCAGTTAAGAGCACCTGCTGCTCTCAAAGAGGATCAGAGCTCAGTTCCCAGCATCCATTTCGGGTGGCTCACAGTCATCTGTAACTCCAGCTCTAAGGGATCTGATGCTTTTCTGACCAGTGTAAGGACCTGCATACACACACCACATACATATATCATATATATACACACACCACATATACACACACCATATATACATACACACCATATATACACACACACCATATATACATACACTCCACACACATACACACATCATACACACACACCATATATACATACACATGCATATATGTACACACCATACACAAACATACTATATATACACACACACCACACACACCATATATACATACACATATATGCACACATACCTTATATACACACACATACATATATACACACACCATATATATATGCCATACATACACCATATATACACACATACATATATACACACACCATAGACATACACACCAGATACACACATACATGCATATGCACACACACATATACATACACACATATATACTCACACCATAAACATACATATATACACATACATACACAAACATATACACACACATACATGCACAAACATATACACACATGATACACACACATACAAGCACATACACATATACATAAATTAAAAAAAAAATCAAGCCAGGCGGTGGTGGCGCACGCCTTTAATGCCAGCACTTGGGAGGCAGAGGCAGGCAGATCTCTGTGAGTTTGAGGCCAGCCTGGTCTACAGAGGGAGTTCAGGGACAGCCAGAGCCACAGAGAGAAACTCTGTACTGAAACACAAAAAAGGAAAAGGAAAAGGAAAAGGAAAAGGAAAAGGAAAAGGAAAAGGAAAAGGAAAAGGGGAAGGAAGGAAGGAAGGAA